ACTTTAACCTTTTGAACCTACTTTGACTAAACACGTTTGAGTTGTCAATACTCTACACTGTCACTTTGGTTGACCCTACCTTTATTAAGTATTCCCCAGCAGCAGCATCCAGCGGTGACTGTGATTGTATCCGACAAGGAGATATGGCCATCCCACATCGTCTAACCCAAAAGAACACACACCATTCAGAGAGGGTTGACAAGAGCAAGTTGAGCAAACTCTTGACACTGGTCTTTTCAAAAACATTATTTGCGAAAATAATGCACGACGAATTGGAGCTACAATTACAATGGATACAAACGAGAGAGATAAAGAGTGCTGCGATGTCATTCTATAGCTACACCAAGTTGGGCTACACGGCTAAACTCGAAAACAAAAAACAACTCCGCGTCCACACGTGAGACGAGAGTTACCAGTGTACCGTGCACCGTGCATTTACTCGTTGAAGCGTTGTTCGCAGTCAGCAGTCAGCTGATCACCACCTCCTCCCCACCTCCCGTTTCCCCTCCCTCCTCCTTGTCCCCCCGTCCCCACCCCACGCAGTCCCCAGTTCGGTTGGCTGATTGTTATTATTGGTATAGATGTAGTAGCAATTTCTAGAATTACAGGCCATTTGATAGAAAACTGTGTTAAAGGTTACTTTTATAACGGTTCTGGTGTCGTGGCGTTATTTGTGCGTAGCTACGATGTGTAATATTTCTCCAGGTGAGAAATTCTAACCTAACGTTTGGCATGGTACTCCATTGAAAGTTTTTATTGCTTTGCTTACGACCGCTACCATCATTGACAATTGCTCGTTGTATGTCTTCAGAGTAGAGAGTCTTTGACAGAGAAACTGTACTTTAAATCAAACTGAAACTGTCCTGGTAGTTCAGATGAAACCTCAATGAAATTGTCACTCTCTAGCTTATTAATTGCGGCTTCTGCTTGACTGTGGCCATCTCATGTGATAGTGTTTAAGAATTGTGCTTTTTTTTGTGACTAGTATTCATGATGATCTGATGAATGGTTTCAGGTGATCGCGTCTTCTCTTGGTCACCCATGGACTCTCAGCTTGCCACCGAGGGTTGACACCAGGAAGTTGATGCTAACAGTGGAAGTGTTTGCAGTATGGAATATACCAGGTCCAGTGTGGATATTGAATGAGGTTTGTTGTTTTAGTAAGCTAAGAGAATCAACACCTAGAATATGTGGTGTCACTATCCAAAAGTTCAGTCCTTACGCTCCCTTGTTCAAGTGCGCATTTTAATTAGAACTTTATTTTCATGTTTTGATTTTTATTCAAGTAGACATTAACCCGACAGTCTGTCTCCATTTGTGAGAAGGAAACATATCATTATAAGTTCTAGAGGTTATTAATTTAATTCAAGAAAAATAAAATAATTCAACTATGGTAGTGCTGCTTACATTGTCCACTCAAATCCAATTTTAGATTAGTTAAATTGAACTTGAGATGTGACTGTATTGAATTTTTTTGTGCTTGTTCTTGTTGTAATAGAATTTTTGTTTTTGGTTATCATTGCAGGTCTGATTTGTATTAAGATTCACAGTTTTAAAGGAGAGACTTGAGTAAGCTAAAGGTATGTATACAAGACTGGTTTGTGTCATTATTCCAGTTTAAATTTCAGCTTATTATTAAAGCATGATTGCGTTTGTTCCAGTTTCTTAATGCAGTGCTCTAGACACGTCCCAGGTGTGCAAGTGAGATTCGCCTGAATGGTTACTGCTGATTCTGTTCCAGTGCACTATTTTGAATGAAGATATGAAACAATATATTGCTTTGTTTAATTTTATTTATTTTTACCTTGCTGAACAACACCTATGAGGAAGGCAAATAATATGTATTTAAAATGATTAAAAGCAGAAGTGGAATTATTGTAATGGCCAATACGTTAACAGATTAAAAGGCGTTACTAATTCATATTCAAAGTAATGTTCACTTGACTTCATTTTATAAAATGAGTCCTATCATCATGATCAAAATTACATTTGATTATGTGTTAGATCAATGTTAAAATCCAACATATTTTGCAGTTAAAAAGTTAAAACCAAGGTATATCGATTATTTAAAAGAAGCTAAATAGCTTCTTATGGATATTAGAACAAAAGCTTTAAGAGAGAGGGAGAGAACTTATCAGAGCATTTCGGACTAGAACTTTACACATGAAGATTAAAATCAAATAGCCACTTCAGTTCACTGGTGACAAGTGAAAGTGGGGTAGGGCCTAAGTCCACTTTTTCCGAAAATCACTTTTTTCCATTTTTGGATACTACTGGGTAATATGAACCGTTTGGTATAGTCAAAACTTTCCTAAGTGCAATACGCCCAGTGTTATGGGGACAAAGCAGATGTCAATATGGGATAAGTCCGGTTGTAATTTTACAGACAGGCGTAAGTCCAAAAAGAGGATTTTCCAAAGAGGCATATGTCCGGATGTGATTTGTCAGAATGGCATATGTCCATGGATCCGGAGGACTTACGCCATTCTGACAAATCACAACCGGGACATATGCCCTCTTCAAAAGTCATGTTTGTGGACATACGCCAGTCTGTCAAATCACACCCGGACTTATGCCACTCTGAGAAATCACCACTGGACATGCTCCTTTTTGTCAAATCAGGTGGCATTGACTTCACTTTTCCTCTATCTAGGGCTAATGTGACATCAACACGCGCGTTAGCGTCAGCCTACCAGCCCTCCGACTAGAGGGGAAGGAGAGGCGCCGGGGCGGCAGGCAACACAAACAGCGCACACGTTGAGCGGGGTTGCCTACGCCCCTGCGAACGAGGCGGTAGTCCGGGTGCTGTTATAGCCCTAGAGAGGCCGATTGACAGGCAGACCCAAACTGCAAGGGTCAGCGCATTCCCTGCGCTCGGCGCGGCTGGAAGCCTCGGCTCGGCCGAGGGGACAGTCGCGACGCAGCCTCCAGCCAGGAGCAGTAGCTCGGGCAACGTCTGGGCGTGCTTTGCTCTGGCGGCCGCGTGGACACACATCGTGTGCCGCTGCCGCACGAAGACGCCAGCTAGGGTGAACAGCTGACTGATACTACGACCGCGTCTTGAGGCCGGGCACAGGGCCATACTGCGTCACTGTCCCAGAGCCCAAGATGCTCGTGCTCGACGCGAGCGGCGGCGACCTCCAGAAGGCGCCCAGCTCAAGAGGATCGACCTGGTGTCCGTGTCGACCGCCTTCGTCCTGTGTTGCCCCTTGGCAATGTCCGGCCTGGAGAAACTAGAAGTGGTGGCGCTGCCGTACGCACTCAAGCCGTCCTGCACAGCGGCGTGTCGTGAAGTTGATAGCCGCCAGGACGCCTCTCCGCATGAGCTTGACCTCCGCGTCGTGCCTCTGCTAGCCAACCTGCCCAACCTCCGCGCTGATGACGTGCTGCAACCTCCTCGGGCTGGAGGCTGTGGCTGCCTGAAACTCCCTCCGCATCCTGGACCTCAACATCTAGACCAGCACCTAGCACAGGTCGGCACGACCGACCGCCACGCTCCCCCGCGAGGCCAAGGACCTGGGCAAAGTGGAGCTGCTGTGGCCGGGGCAGGCGACGGCGACGTGGACACCGTCATGCTCGCCGGCGCCGTCGAGGAGGAGAAGCTCACCGGGCCACAACTTCGGCGGGGAAGTGGCGGGGAAGTGGCGGGGAAGTACACTCCCCCAGCTACAGTGGCTGTTCGGGGCTCTGCCCTCGGTGCCCTCGCTACAGGTTTTCTGCCCCCCCCTCCTCCTCCCCCCCACACACCATCCACTGCTTTTGAGATGATAAATTCAAGTTCTAGCATTGAAACTCAATTGGAATTAATTATAGCGTTTGGCCAGGGCGGCTTGTACTCCGAGTCCCTCGATAGGAGCTGCGTCTCACCACACAGAATGCACTTAAGACAAACCTACAGACACCAAGAAAAATCACTTCATCTTCTCAGTGAAGCAGCCAGGAGGCGCGCGGGCGGCCCCAGTTGTTGGAGACCATGTATGTGTGTGGGAAAGGAGGGGGGGGGGGCACAAAAACTGCAGCCACGCGCCGCTAGCAGCAACTGCACCTGGTGAACGACTCCAGCTCGGGTGATTTTACAAAGTAAATCACTTGAGTAAAGATGGAGTGAGGAAGAACAGAAAAGAAAAACGCGAGGAACAAGAAAGCATTCCGGTAAAGCTGAAATGCAGAAGAATGCGGGATGCGGGGAACAAGAAAACGGAAGTCACCATGTTCAAGCATAGCGAAAAAGACAAAAATGTGAAGGTGATTTTCCTTCTAAAAATTAGGAAAGAGGGAAGCAGTTTGAAGATAGAAACTAATAATAATAATAAATTTTTAAAAACCTAAAACGGCAGCACTCGAGGGTAGAGATTGAGAAGTTTTAAAGTGATTCTCTTGTAGGTAGAACGAAGTTGGCTATCCTGAAAACAATTGAAACTGCACACGGTGCTCACCGTTCAAAAATCAAAATCAGTAAGACGAAAGACGTTATCGAGTGTGGTGGTTCGAAACAGGCCAGGCGAATCAGAACTCTAGTAAGTTAAAGCTAATAATCATAAAAACCTCTGTTATCTTTGAAAAAAAAAATCCACTTAGAATCAGTATTTAAAATCTTTAAAAACGGAAGAAGGCACTCAATGCTGGACCAAGGAAATGCCATTGAAACTGTTGTTGAATCAACTGCTATCTTCCAGGTCAGGATGGATTCCATTGATTCAATCATTCTAAAGTCCATGTTAAAAGTGAACCCGGAGATTGAAAGAGACCGCGCCGAAGTAATATCAGCAAATATAGCCAGGTCATTAAGAGGAAAGGGACTAGTCTTATCAACCGATTTGAAGAATGTTACTCAAGAGCATTTACAGGGTATGGATCTAAATGATTTCCAATGGCCTAGGTTAATTGATTGGTGGAAAGCTGGTAGCCATCTTGATTCAGGTAAGAATAAAGCCTGCTAGCAAACTCTTTGTACTATCAATAACTCTTTCAAAACACAAGTTGAAATGGCTCTGTTACTTTTGTTCTATAGATAAACAACCCGAAACAAGCTCTGCTTCCCATTCCAAGTTTTTTGTCGCTGTACCTTGGGATTACATCTGGCAACAGGACAAGTTTGCAAAGACAGAGAAGGGGGAATTAGCCGTGGCTCTTCTGAAAGAAAAGAGGAGGCCATCAAAATCAGCTGAATTGGTGCTGATCAATGCTATGGTTGCTGCTGCTAAGACAACTTACCCCACATGTGAACGGAAAATCATGGAACATATGGCAAAACAAGCTGTTGATAAATATCCGCTGTCCTTGTCTGACAGAGTAGGTGATACCAATCTGGGTTACAAGAGGTTCATGGAACATTGCAAGGATCAATTTGACAATTACAAACCCCGCCCATGTGTACTGAGGAAAAAACAAAAATCTGTTATGATAGTAAATATGCCAGTGAAGGCAGTGATTGGACTTACCAAAGAGAGCTGGCACAATACAGAATTACCACCGGGTGAAACAGAAAAAACCCAAGAAGAAATGCGAAGCAACTTAATAGAATATTCCAAACGAAGAAAGGAGAGCGACCCTGAACAAATTAAAGAAATTATGAGGGCCACATACTATACTCAAAGGAAAGATGTGCTCACCCAATACAAACAGATCAAAGATTTCCAGGCTAAGAAGAAGAGAAAGCGTGCCGAGGATGCTGAACCAGAAATGTCTGATCTCATCAATGAGTGGCCCTACTTATTTAGAACAGTTGGTCTAATTCTCCACTTCAATAGACTGTACAATTTAGACTTGGATCAATGTTTTGACTTATTTTTCACCTATAACTCCACTAAAATGTTTCAATACCTAATTTCTACTCTGGGTGTTGAAGGAAATCAGATAAATGTGTGTGTACAGAAAGCAATTGAAAAGGGGAATGAGGCAGTCTATGTAAGGTTGCTTGGACTTATGATGCTTCTAGCAAAACTATGGAATGAGCCAGTCAACAATTTCATTTTGAATGTTGAGGTAAGCTGATTCTATTTGTGACTCTGAAATAATGAAACACCTTGACTTATTTAAAATATAAATAATTTTACACCTTTATATTTTTTATAGCCAACAACTAAACATGAGGATGTTGCAGATCTCAAAGAGCTTCCAACAACACCATGTATTGTTGCCTGTGGTGAGTAAATTTTGTTTACCTTTTTTGTATTTTTACCCTTTCTTTACCATCCCACCCACAGTGGTAGAAATAACAAGTATTGATCTCAGTGCAGTGTCACCTCTTCACTGTCTAGTCTTGTGTCATGTATGACTAATATTAAAAACACCTTATTTATTCAGGGAAGAACACATTTGGAGCAAAGAAGTTCTATGTCACTATGGACAAGTATTGTTTCTTGGCAACTCGTTCCTTTAAGGATGCGTTTCAAGCTGCATATGCTGCATTCTTTGTATTCCACCTGGATTTTCCCAGAAAGTTCGGGCTTGTCTGCGAATTTATTCAAAGGTAGTCATATCTTGTGAATAGTATTTTGTTGTACATTGCTGTATTTGTAACAGATGATTTTATAAATTCTGGTTTGTGGCATTGCAGAGAGATTTTAAATATAAATGTTGAGATGGGCTCAAAGCGAGCAGAAGCCAGCGGAGCAGCTCCAATTCCCACCAGAATTGTAAACCTACAAAGAGACTGTGATCAGTACCACCGTCTTATTGACGCAACCATGGCATCTCTTGAAGATCCTACAGAGACTGTGGAAGAAGAACCTTTTCTTGATGATTGAAGCTCTTCATTCATAAATATAGTT